GGATGAATGATTTTGGCAATTATTGTCTGAACGTCAGTGGATCTACCCAAAAATTAGCTTCAAAGGACCAGTGGGCTAGGCATGGTGGCCCACGCCTGTAATCCCCGTACTTTGGGAGGCAGAGGTGAGAGGATTGCCTGAGCCCATGGGTTCAAGATCAGCCTGGGCAACATGGTGAGACCTCATCTCTATAATTAAAAAAAAAAAAATCAAGTCGGGCTCGGTGGCTCAGTCTGTCATCCCAGCACTTTGGGAGGCTGAGGTGAGTGGATTGCCTGAGCCCGCGGATTCGAGACCCACCTGGGCAACTTGGCGAGACCTCATGTCTACAATAAATTAAAAATTAGCCAGGCGTGGTAGTGCGCGCCTGTAGTTCCAGCTACTTGGAAGGCTGAGGCAGAAGGATTGCCAGAGCCCAGCAGGTTGAGGTTGCGGTGGCCGGGAACGGCCACTGCATTCCAGTCTGGGCGACAGAGTGAGACTCCAACTCAAAAAAAAAAAAAAAAAAATTAGCCAGGCCTGGTGGCACACGCCTGTAGTTCCGGCTCCTTGGAAGGCTGAGGCGGAAGGCTCACCAGAGCCCAGCAGGTCAACCCTGGAGTGGCCGTGAGTGTACCACTGCACTCCTGCCTGGGCGACAGAGTAAGACTCCAACTCAAAAAAAAAAAAAAAAGAAAGAAAAGAAAAAGAAATTAGTCATGTGCCTTTGCCACCTTCAGTGACTTCCAGCAACACCCATAATCCAGAATGTTCTGGGAGGAGTCACGCCACTCACCCGGTCAAGGAAAACTGATCCAGTGAATGCCTGGTGCTTCCAACAGTGTTGACTCTAACAGACTCCAAAACCTGAGCCGGATCTCTTGGGTGTTGTACATGCAGCTATTTATACACTCCCAGACATCAACCACAGTCACAGTGGAGTCACCCACCCAGATGCCACACGCTCTTGTCCAGGCGTTCTGACTTCACACGTTCAGGGGATTAAATCCTTCCAGGGCCGGGTGCAGTGGCTCACACCTGTCATTCCAGCACTTTGGGAGGCGGAGGTGAGAGGATTGCCTGAGCTCAGGGTTTCGAGACCAGCCTGGGCAACTTGGCAAGACCTTGTCTCTGCAACAAATTTTTAAAAAATCAGCTGAGCGTGATAGCACGTGCCTGTAGTACCAGCTACTCAGGAGGCTAAGGTGGAAGGATCGCCTGAGCCCAGCAGATCGAGGCTGCGGTGGCCGTGAGCGTGCCACTGCACTCCAGCCTGGGCGACAGAGTGAGACTCTGACTCAAAAAGAAAAAAAAAATCCTCCCGGGGCAAGTGGGCTGAACCCTAAAGCTGCTGCCTCCGTGTCATTGCCACATCTGTTCCTCAGCTTATCAGCTGGCCTTGGTGTCCTGTCACCCACCTGCCGGTGACACCTCCTGTGTCCTCATAAGGAAGATGTACACTCCTTGCACTGATGGGTTCCTGATAAGATCCAAGGTCCTATTCTGGGCGCTGATAGTCACCTTGCCAAAAGCCTGCTTCCTGGTGCACCATGCTGAAGTCACTGATCACATGCCACCACCCCAGTACTCCCAGGCTGACTCAGGAAATGGGCACGGGGGGCAGCGGCAGGTGGTACTGGCCAAATGGTGTTGTGAGCTGGATGGGGGCTGCTTCGAGCTTCGAGAGGGAGACTGTGAAATCACACACACACACACACACACACACACACACACACACACACACACAC